GCCCCTCGTTCCCGGTGTCTGAGCCCGAGGCTCAACCTGCCGCTCCGGGGCTGTGGCTGTTTGCTGGCTGTGGAAGGATCGTGAAGCTGTGAACTGAGAGAGATAGCTTTTCCTGTCAAAGACAGAATTGGCAGTTTTGTGGGAGAAGGGTGGTGTTTGCCAGGGAAATCCCTCTTTCAAAGCAGCTGCTGGTGCCTTTCGGGTCCAGCATCCGCACGCTGTGGGCATGGCACAGTGGCAGTGCTGTCTGTGGTGATGGTACAGTGCTGTCTGTGGTGAGGGTACAGTGGCAGTGCTGTCTGTGTGTCCCTGGGGTTGCACAGTCCTTAGGGCATTGATCAGGCACCTGCGGGGTTGTTCTGGCTGTGCAGTGACAGCTCCCTGCTCACACGGTGATGCCATGGCTGCTGGAGCCCTGGCACAGCATGGCACTGAGCTTCCCAATGCATGGACACGGTGGGTTTTACCAGCATTTTTTGAACCAGCATTTCCTGTGTCGGTGGTTTTCCTAATACGCTGTCTTGCCTGCAGTTGTCCTGCTGGACTCCAAGGAATCACAGGCGGAGCTGGGCTGGACCTCTCACCCATCCAACGGGGTAAGCACAGGGGTGGGACTGTCCCTCTGCACCATTGGGGAGGGTGGAAGGGTCAAATGCTCAGCAGCATTTCAAGTCCTGCCTGTGAGAGCTTTGCTTACACAGAGCTGGGGTGGGGCTGGCAGCCTCGGGACCTCCTCAGTCAGGGTCTATAGGTAGCTTGGCATGATCACTGCCAGGAGCCTCTGGCAGCAGAACGAGGAGTGAGGTCCCTCCTCAAAATGGGATTAAACACTACTAAAACAAGCCAAAAAACAATAAACATCAGGGGGAACACTGGTGGGCATTCAGCCTGACTCAACTTTGCAGGAACCTGCAAGACCTACAATTAGTAATAATCAAACCTGGTTGAGTTCCTTCCCCCATGCAGGAGTCTGCTGGAAAATACCTTGGCTTTTACACTACTAAAAGACAAAAGGGATTTTACACTGCTAAAACAAGCCAATAAACACTGGATCGTTAAGGTTTGTGCTGTGGTTTGCATACCAGCATGAGCACCAAGGGTCAGTCCAGCCCTTGGAATCCCAGGGCTGTGCCTGGGGAGGTCACTGGGAGTTGTGCAATGTAATATTTATTTCATCAGCCCCTGGCTTTGCTGCTGGTGTTGGTCTAAAGCCACTTTCAGTGAGCTTGGAGTTGTGCTCCTTGCAGCTTTGGGTTCATTTTCCTAAATGGAAATTAAGTGTTCAGAGGGAAGAGTGATAGGTCTGGAGTCATGTGTGGCACAGCTGTTTGTTTGCAGAAGAAATTCTGTTCTGGGTATGTTTTGACTGTTTTGCATAAATTTACCCCCAGAAAAGATTGCTCTGGGAAATTGCCAGGTTGTCATTCAGGCTGTGAGGGTTGAATCATCATCATTTCACTGATCAGAATCTCTGCTGATAGCTTTGGGGAAACCCTGTTTCACTTGCAGGATTGGAGGATTTGTCCTGTTGCAGCTGAAACTTCTCCTAGCAGAGAAGCTGCTGCTGTTCGTGAAGGTGTTTGACATTCTTATGTGATGGTGTGACTGGTGTCCTTAGAGACGGATTAGAGATGGATTTCTTGGAAATCTTGGATTTCTCTGGGTGGCCCAACCCCATCCAGCATTACACTGTGTGGATGCACTTTCCCAGGGATGGAAAATCTGAGGAGTGTGTTGGAAATGAAGGCTCTGGCTCCTCAGCAGAGAATGTATCCAGAATCAGGTTTTATTTTCCAAGACCTGGTGCCTTTCTGGTTGCATTTTCACATCTGTACCTGTGTGGAGAGTTCAAGTGTTAGGTGGTCCAAGAGCAGCTGGTGGGTTTGGTGGGCTGAGGACTTCTAGTGCCTACAGCACCTTCCCAGGGACAGAAAATCTGAGGAGTGTGTGGGAGATGAAGGCTCTGGCTCCTTAGCAAATGATGTGTCCAGAACCAAGCTTTGTTTTCCAAGATCTGCTCCCAGTGCTGCCTTTCTGGTTGCATTTTCACATTTATACCTCTGTGGAGAGCTCAGGTGTTGGGTGGTCCAAGAGCAGGTGTTGGGTGGTCCAAGAGCAGCTGGTGGGTTTGGTGGGCTGAGGACTTCCAGGGAGAGAAAATATGAGGAATGTGTGGGAGATGAAGGCTCTGGCTCCTCAGCAGATGATGTGTCCAGAACCAAGCTTTTTTTTCCAAAATCTGCTCCCTTTTTGGTTGCATTTTCACATTTTTACCTCTGTGGAGAGCTCAGGTGTTGGGTGGTCCAAGAGCAGCTGGTGGGTTTGGTGGGCTGAGGACTTCCAGTGCCTACAGCACCTTCCCAGGGATGGAAAATCTGAGGAGTGTGTGGGAGATGAAGGTTCTGGCTTCTGAGCAGATGATGTTGAAAACAAGCTTTGTTTTCCATGAGCTCAGGTGTTGGGTGGTCCAGAAGCAGGGTTACTGCAGCTGCTGGGTTTGGTGCCTACAGCATAATGGTGGGGAGGGGTGGCAGTGACATTTCTGCTGGTTGGTGTGTCTCTGCTGGGGCAGCTCCCAAGCTTTGTGTTCTGTCCCCAGTGGGAAGAGATCAGCGGCGTGGATGAGACCTACAAGCCCATCCGCACATACCAGGTGTGCAACGTGATGGAGCCCAACCAGAACAACTGGTTGCAGACGGGCTGGATCGCCCGGCGCGACGGCCAGAGGATCTTCATCGAGCTCAAGTTCACTCTGAGGGACTGCAACAGCATCCCTGGCGTGACCAGCACCTGCAAGGAGACCTTCAACCTGTACTACGTGGAGTCTGACTCCGACCTGGGCTGGAGCGTCCACGAGGGGAAGCACACCAAGATCGACACCATCGCTGCTGACGAGAGCTTCACGCAGGGCGACCTGGGCGAGCGCAAGATGAAACTCAACACTGAGCTCAGGGAGATTGGGCACCTGAACAAGAGAGGCTTCCACCTGGGCTTCCAGGATGTAGGAGCCTGCGTGGCGCTGGTCTCCGTGCGAGTTTACTACAAGAAGTGTCTGAGCACGGTGCAGAACCTGGCGCTGTTCCCCGACACGGTGGCAGAGACGGCCTTTGTGACGCTGGTGGAGGTGCAGGGCACCTGTGTGGCCCATGCTGAGGTGGATGTGGATAACCCCCCTCGGATGCACTGCAGCGCAGAGGGAGAGTGGCTGGTGCCCATCGGGAAGTGCATGTGCAGCCCTGGCTTCGAGGAGAAGGACGGGGCATGCAGAGGTAAAAGTTGCCATTGGTGTCCTGGAAGGTTTTGTGTGTGTCAGTCCATGCTGCTGCCAGAGCTCTCTGGTGCCTGAGCACAGTTTGGATAAATGGATATTGGATATTTAGATAAATGGAATTGTCTTTTGCAGCAATATGTTTGTTTGGGTGATGGCAGCTCCCCAGTGAAGCACCAGAGGTTTGTTTGGAGGGTATGGAGCTGCTCTGCAGATGCATCAGAGAGGGTTTGGTGGGCTGAGAACTGCTGCCAGAGCTCTCTGGTGCCTGACCACAATTTGGATAGAAGGATATTGGATACTGGATATTTGGATCAGTGGAATTGTCTTTTCTTTGTTTGGGTGGTGGCAGCTCCCCAGTGAAGCACCAGAGCTTTGTTTGGAGGGCATGGGGCTGCTCTGCAGACCTAGCAGAGTGGATTTGGTGGGCTGAGGACTGCTGCCAGAGCTCTCTGGTGCCTGAACACAGTTTGGATAAGTTGATATTGGATATTTGGATAAGTGGAATTTTCTTTTGCAGCAATATGTTTGTTTGGGTGATGGCAGCTCCCCAGTGAAGCACCAGAGCTTTGTTTGGAGGGTGGCAATTGGAGACCATGGTGCTGCTTGGGCAGATGTGTCAGAGCAGGTTTGGTGGGCTGAGGACTGCTGCCAGAGCTCTCTGGTGCCTGAGCACAGTTTGGATAAAAGGATATTGGATATTTGAATCAGTGGAATTGTCTTTTCTTTGTTTGGGTGATGGCAGCTCCCCAGTGAAGCACCAGAGGTTTGTTTGGAGGGTGGCATGGGGCTGCTCTGCAGCATAGTGATGTGTTAGAGTGGGTTTGGTGGGCTGAGGACTGCTGCCAGAGCTCTCTTGTGCCTGAGCACAGTTTGGACAAATGGATATTGGATATTTGGATAAATGGAATTTGCAGCAATATGTTTGTTTGGGTGATGGCAGCTCCCCAGTGAAGCACCAGAGGTTTGTTTGGAGGGCATGGGGCTGCTCTGCAGCATAGTGCCGGTTAGGCAGACGTGTCAGAGCTCAGGATGCTGTCAGGCATTTCCCACAGCTTTATCTGTAATGTTAAAATTACTCTAGAACATTAATATCCCTATTGATACGCTTTGGACACGGTTTAATGATTTGGTGACTGTACAGCTCACAAGGTTGTGTTTAAGGGCAGCTGCACAAATGGATGCACCCTCTGTCTTAACAAGGCATCCCACTAATGAACCTGGGGCTCTGACCATTTCCATCTTTCAAAGGCAGGTCAGAGCCAGGTGTGGGATGCTGGCTGCCATACTCTTCCTCAGAGTGTGCAGCCTCTGAATGGAGAGAATTGCTGGGCTAATACCACCCCTGGGCACCTTCTTGCCAGCTAGGACCTGGGGGAGGAGGTGAATTCTTCAGTAAAACACATCTGAAAAGATCCTTTGCTGTCCAGATGATACCTTGGATGTCCCTTTTCACCTCACAAACACATTGAGAAGAAAACAGCTAAAAGTCCCAGGCATTGGAGTTCCCCGCACTGGAGGCAGGAGCTGCAGGAGGAGATTGAGCTTTCTGCCCTCCAGGAGCACCTCCAGCCTTCTCACTGGTGGTGCTGCCTCCCTCCAGGCTGGTGGGATGCCCTTCCCAGTGCTCTGGGCAGTGGCTTCTCCTTAAGAAGACCTTATTAAAGCTATCAAATTGAAATCTCAGTGCTGTTGATTGCTTCAGTGGCTGCATGGCAGCTTGCCACGCTTCCCACATCTGTTTGGAGTGGGGATTTACATAGTGAGTCCCAGAAGGCTTTTGCTAATGTTTCAGGTTTCTCTGTGTTGAGTTTAAATAATTCATATTCTCTGAGGAAAAATATTTGAAGTAATTTAATGGACATAATTAAGTTTCTCTCCCCTCTCACAGAAAGCAGGTCATTAGTCATTCTCTGTGGAGCAGCGTCTGATGTCTGGTCAAATATCAGAAAATAGTTTTTAAGGGTTGAAAGTTTTGGGTTTGTTTGCAGCCCTGCATTAGCATAGTGCTAAGTGAATAGCTTGAAAAGATTCCTGATAAAAGCTGCCTGGGCTGTGGAAATTCTTCAGTGAGAACAAAAGCCCTTGAGCTGGAGGCAGCGGGATGCTTTGGGAGTTTGGGGGTGCTAAACCAGCCAGGTGATGGCACAACACACCTGGCACCACCTCTGTGATCCTGTGCAGGCTTTGGAGGGCTCTGAGGGTGTGAATCCTGCATGAAACCTCTTGGTCACAGGTTATTTTACAGGTTTTGTGGGCCTGAGAGGTCTGGGTGGTGGACTGGGGATGGTGGGGGCTTTGCTGGTGCCTGTGGGGTGGCATGGGGGCCAGGGTGGTGGTGGCAGCAGGACTGTGGAGGTGGTGACAGCAGGACTGTGGTGGTGGCAGCAGGACTGTGGTGGTGACAGCAGTACTGTGGAGGTGACAGCAGGACTGTGGTAGTGGCAGCAGGACTGTGGTGGTGACAGCAGTACTGTGGAGGTGACAGCAGGACAGTGGAGGTGACAACAGGACTGTAGTGGTGGCAGCAGGACTGTGGTGGTGGCAGCAGGACTGTGGTGGTGACAGCAGGACTGTGGTGGTGGCAGCGGGACTGTGGTGACAGCAGGACTGTGGAGGTGGCACCAGGACAGTTACAGGACTGTGGTGACAGCAGGACTGTGGAGGTGACAGCAGCACTGTGGTGGCAGCAGGACTGTGGTGGTGGCAGCAGGACTGTGGAGGTGACAGTACGGCTGTGGTGGTGACAGCAGCAGGACTGTGGTGGCAGCAGGACTGTGGTGGCAGCAGGACTGTGGAGGTGGCAGCAGTGGAGAAAGCAGGAGGTGAACTGCTGAAGGTGTTTAACCTTGGTGGCAGTGCTGGTGTCCCTGTAACCCTGATTGAATTACTGAGAGCATCCTGTACCAAGAGAAGGTTTGTGTCCTCACTCTGAAATTAGGAGAGATGACAAAAAGGACAATAGGATTTCTGACTCTGCTAATTCTGGCTGCAGGAAAGCTGAGCCTTCCCATGTCCAACCTTCTGTCCTGCACCACTGACAAGTTTGCATGTTTCTGATGAATTGTTTTTCTGTTTGGTGGAGTGCAGCCATCTCTGGGGTGGGACTGCACAACTTTAGTGTCTGTTTAACATCCACCCACGAAGAAGAGGAGAGTTTGTCACTGAAAATACACTCAGACTTGTCTTGCCTGATGTATCTCTGCAGCCAGCTGCTGCTCTGTGCTTCCTCTGACCATAAAACCCATTCCCAGCAGATGCACAGCAGGCAATTGGGCAGCCCTGTGCTCTGTGGATGATCCCTTGCCCATCCCTGTTTTGTTTTTACTTGCCTTCTCAGCTTTGATTTCTTTTTGCCATTAATTTTGTCAGGTGTGAGCTGCAGCCCCTTTGTGCTGGTTGTTTTGTGTAAATGAAGCCCTGATGTGGGGGATCTGCCTGACATTTTCATTCAAAGTTGTCTCCTTCTGCTTCCTCTTTTCTATCCAATCCCTGGTAATATCTGCAAGGAGAATTTCGACAAAGCTCAAGGTTAATATTTACCAGCCAGATTTGCTGCAAATAAGACAACTTAAACCAGACATTGCATTAATATGATGGAGGCCAGTTACCAAAAATAGCAGCCAGCCACTCTTCTTTGACAGAAACAGTAAATTTGTGCTCTGGCAAAGTTTCCTCCTCAATTCATTTTCCTCCATTTCTGACAGTCCTGGCAGGAGCCAGCTCTGCCCTGCTGCTGTGTCCCATGCTCTGCTGCCCCCACCAGCACCTGGAGCCCAGCTTGGTCTGGTCAATGATGGTCTAATTAGTGTCCCTGTCCCTTGGCTACATGGGAATGACATCACTGGAAACAGTTTTAGAGTTGGAATAGTTTCTGGTGCTTTGTCAGGATTTTTAAGTGACCTTTTAAAGAGATGAGGGTTGCTCATCTCTTTAAAACCTCACACAGGAGGCTTCAGTGCCAGCCTTGTCCACAGGTGCTGTTTGAAATGGGGAATAACAGAAATTCCCCCTCCTTGTCTGCATCACTGGGTGGATTTTTGAGCAGCATGTTGAATTCAGCCTGCTATGGACAAGACACAAGGAAGATTTATTTGTATTTCTCTTAGGGAGAAAGCAGAGGTTTAGGGTGGGAGTGGGATGTGGGGTGAGTCAGATGCTCTTCTGTCCATTGGATGTGTCCCACCACAGCATTGTGTCACTGCAGTGTCCTTAGGTGGAAAAGAAATAGTTCAATTGAAAGTTAGAGAAATTTTTGACAATATTTTGTCATTTACTGCAAAGATACCTCCTGAAGCCTGAGGTCTGCTTTTCTGTTTGAATAGAAAAAAGATGGATCCAAGTGTACAGCACTTGGAGCTTTTGATTTGTTTCATCTTTTATACATTAGCTTACAAACCTGTAAGTGCTCCTGGAGTGTTCTTTATCTGCTGACTGATGCTGGAGGATTATGCATACATTTATTTTTTCCTCCTGGAGCTCTGCAAGTTGCACAGAGCACCAGGTTTTGCTTTCATCACAGATGCAGCCACAGGCATCCCACAGTCAGGCCCTGTGCTTGCTGCTGTGTGGAACTAGAGGAAATTCCAGAGGAAATTCCAGAGGAATTCTGGAGCTGGACATGTTGAGGGGAGGTTGTGAGGGATGGGATCAGCTGGGTGTTGGGTGCTGCTGCCCACCAGCCACACACATGGAGCAGCAGAATGAGTCTCTCATTTTTGCAGCTGTATAGAACTGGAGGAAATTCCAGATGAATTCTGGAGCTGGGAACATTGATGGGAGGCTGTGAGGGATGGGATCAGCTGGGTGTTGGGTGCTGCTGCCCACCAGCCACACACATGGAGCAGCAAAAAGAGTGTCTCTGCAGTAATGTCCAGCCATGGAGGTGTCCATCCTTTGGGATTGCACGTTCCCTTGCTACTCACAGCGTGTCTGAAATAATTCTGCCTTTGGAAGTCGTGACAGATGCACACACAAATCGTTCCGTGACATTTAATTTCAGAGCAAGCTGCTCTGACAATTACAAGCATCACAAGTTGTTTGCAGGATTCCTGTGAGGTTAAGGTCATGGATATCATGGATAACGTGTTGGATGGGCTGTTGAAATCCAGAGGGGACGTGTCCTGCCCACAGCTGAGGGGGTTTGTGTGAGCTCAGAGTGCTCAGCAGGGCTGTCCTTCTGTCTGTCTGTCTGACTGGTCAGCCAGTCCTTCACCAGGAGCTGCTTGGTGGCTGCATTATGAGAACACAGCAGTGAATTGCACTTGGCTCAGAGGATGTGCCTGCTTCAGTGTGTCCTTGAGGAACATTCTGGCATAAATAGCACAATAAGGTTCTGTCAGTCCTGGCTGGATTCATCAAATGCACTCTCTTAGATATTTCCAGACTGTTTCTTCTGGGCTAAATCACTAAATTTAATTTCTGCTGTTAAGAGTTCCTTGTTGGGGATGCACAAGGATCTTACCCTTGGACTCAGGTTTTCTTTTTAGTACTCCACAAATTATTTAACAGGGACAAAAATTACAGAGTAGCATTGTCTAGAGGTGTCAGAATTGCTGGCAACGTGTTGGACCATAGGCTGCTTGTTGCAAACCAGTTATTTAAAACCTCCAAACTGTGTGGAAGGCTTTTGGATTCTCTGGGGTGGTGCAGCCTAAAGTTCCCATCCTGGCAGACATGGGAGCAAGGTGAGAAGAGCCTGACTCAGTGCTTGCATTGATTGCTCCTCATGCCGGCTTTGTCCCTCTCACAGAGGCACAGAGACTGGACGCGAGTGCTGTCCCTCCTCTCTGCCTGCATTATTGATCACAGCTGGTGCACTAAGGCAAGGTGAGACCTCAAACTCAGCATGGAGGGGCAGGAGCCTCTCTGCCACCCAAGGATGTTTTCAGCAAGGCTCTTGGACCACCTCAGTGCAGCTCTGAAGCTCTGTCAGTGATTTACACAGGGTGCCCTGGCTGGTTTGGGCAGGGTGTCCTTGTCCATGGGCACTGCTGGCAGCATCTGTCCCTCCTTGGGGCTGCTGTCCCCTCCTCTCCCCTGTGCTTTGCCTCTGAAGCACTGATGAAATGTTTGGAACATAATAAACAGTGACTTGATAATGGGATTTGGATAGATGGAGTAGGGCTGTGCCAGTGAGGGGTCAGCAGGAGCTCCTGTGAGAGATGCATTGGGAACAATTTGGATGACAGTGGTGACATTGCAGGTTTGAGTGCTGGAAGGGCCCAGTGCTCCCAGTCTGCCCTTGCTGGGAGGGATTTGGGCTGTCAGGCTGCCTGTGGTGCTGTGCTGGTTCCTGCTGTGGCACCCCCAGTGCTGGCTGCCTGTTTGCCCAGCTGTGGCTTTCCTAAAGAGCATTTTTATGAATGTCTGCTTCAACAGAGAAAATTAACACACATTAAAGCAGATGAACTTTGTCAAATACAATTCCAGGACCAAAACTGGAAAGGAATTGATTTTGGAAGACAACCCAGTTGTAGTGTTAATTATAAATGCCTGTATAGGCATTTTGAGTGAGGCTGCAGCTGTTATTAATTCATGCTGGCACACACAGCACTGCTGCTGGTAGGACTTCACTGGGAAGGGGAATGGAAAGCTGTGCTGTGCCACTGGAGTGGGAAACCATACATTTTCTAGGTCTGCATCCTCAGTTACCCCTGCTTTCCCCATGGCACAGGCTGGGAATGAGAGAGGACGTTGCTCTTTCCAAAAACACCCTGGTGCTAAGAGAAGCCTTTCCCAAGGTTGCCCAATGCTGGGTAATTAGCCAAGCTGCCTCACAAATGAGTGCTGCTGGTTTGGCAGTGTGCAGGCAGTGTTACAGAGGGGGAATGTGCTCTCCTTGGCAGTGACAGGATCCTAAATGTGATCCTCCCCTCCTGAGGAGCTCCTGTGGTCAGCATGGTGGAGCTGGAGAGAGGCACTTGATCCATCTGACCCATCTGACTGCTTCTCTTTGGCTGTGAGACAGTTATTGAATTTCATTGTTTAATAATTTAGTTGTGGTAGCACCAGAGGACCAGGAACAGGATAGAAAGCAGTGTACAAAAAAAAGAGAATTTCATTCTATAAATTGATGACCTGATCCCCCAAAGAGCTGTCACATACCCACTGCAGAAATAAGCAGTGTGAAACGACAGGGACACCTAAACCAGCTGGAGACCAAGAAAAACACTCGTAGGATGAGGTGGAAGAAGGTGGGAGTTTGTCTGAAAAAAGAAACAGAGACACACACATGATGCATCACATGTGCTGGGGGCACTTTTGTTCTTTTCAAGGGCAAGTTTTGGATGGCCAAGATAAAAAAAAAAAAAAAGCAAATAAAGCTCATAGCTCCTTGTGGAACATACTCACATGTGGTGCCTGCTCCTGGGCCATGCAAATTGGGGCATTTTGTGGTGTCATTAATGTCAGGCACTTCTGTAAACTTACTTGTGGCTGTTAGAAAACAGGGTGGGCTATTCTGAAAGACACTTCTAATTGGGAATGTTCAGTTTCCTGCCATGAGATGTCAGATTTGTGTGACAGGCACATCTGAGGGATGGGGTCTGGGTTTAGTGTTGGATCTCATCGTGTTTGTAGACAGGATAGATTTTCCTGTCTGATGCAGTGATATTTCTGCCCTCTGTGGTGGTCAGTGCTGCTTAACTAAAGGAAAAAGCACACTCTGTCTCCATTCTATGGATACACTACAAGTTTTTATTTTGTTTCTCAGCTCTAAAGAGGGAACTCAAAATTTCAGGCGTAATTTTAACATTTGCTATTTTTTCCTGGTTTATCTAGCACCCTAGATAGGGAATGACATTTATTATGAAAGTCAGTGCAGAGCTACAGAACCCAAATGGGTAAAACCAAGGGAATCTTTCTTTCTTGGTGCCAGGATCATGCAGGTGCTCAGGGAAATCAGCTTAGAGGGTGGTGTCTGCTGGCCAGGGACAGCAAAGGAGGCTACCGTGAGATGTCAGATTTGTGTGACAGGCACATCTGAGGGATGAGGTCTGGGTTTAGTGTTGGATCCCATCATGTTTGTCAACAGGATTGATTTTCCTGTCTGATGCAGTGATATTTCTGCCCTGTATTTCTGCCCTCTGTGGTGGTCAGTGCTGCCTAACTAAAGGAAAAATCACACTCTGTCTCCATGCTATGAATACACTACTAGTTCTGATTTGGCTTCTCAGCTCTAAAGAGGGAACTGGAAATTTTGGGCGTAATTTTAACATTTGCTATTTTTTCCTGGTTTATCTAGCACCCTAGACAGGGAATGACATTACTGTGAAAGTCAGTGCAGAGCTACAGAACCCAAATGGGCAAAACCAGGGGACATCTTTCTTTGTTGGTGCCAGGATCATGCAGGTGCTCAGGGAAAGCAGCTTAGAGGGTGGTGTCTGCAAAGGAGGCTCCAGGAATCAGGGAAATGCACTCATCAGACATGTCAATATTTGTGTGGCTCTCCCCTTAACAGCCTCTCTCTCTTTCAGCTTGCCTTCCAGGGTTTTACAAGCTCTCCCTCCGTCTCCCTCTGTGCTCTCCATGCCCTGAGCACAGCTTCACACATGAGGAAGCCTCCACCTTCTGTTTGTGCCAGACAAATTACTCTAGGTCTCCTTCAGACCCACCATCTGCCTCCTGCACACGTACGTCTCTGTCTGTCTGCCCCGGCGCTCTGTCTGTCTGTCTGTCTGTCTGTCTGTCCAGACACCCTGTCTGTCCTGCAGTGCCCAGGGCTGTGCCTGCCTGCTCTGTGTGCTCACCTCAGTCTGTGCTGGGGTGGGGATGCAGGGGATGGAGGGGCTGTCCCTACAACCCAGACTGGTGAGGCAGATGTGCAGTCAGGCTCACAGACTCCCTGATAAACTGGGGCACTGTCATTTAGGCACCATAATTCACAGGTTTTAATTAAATAGCCTCTGGTTAATTGGACTGGACTCCAGCTGCTCTGGTGATGGATGCTGTCCAGCTGGCAGCACAGGGATGAGGAACCCTCCATGTCTGCTGAGCATGGCTGGGCAGTGTCTGACCAGGAGTGAGCTCCAAGGGCTGGTGCTGCTCAGGGAGGTGCTGGATCCAGCCAGGTGCTCCTCATGCACACTGTGAGCTGTGGCTGGTGGTGCACACACACCCGTGCAGCTGGCATCCTCTGTCCCACATCCCACTGTGCCTCTGTGTCCCTTTGTGCCACCCCTGGATATCCAGGACCTCCCTGTCCCCTCGTGCCACCCCTGCCTGTGGCTGTCCAGGACTGTCCCCCTGTGCTCTACCCCCAGTGCCTGCTCTGCTGCTCCCAGACAGAACCTTTAGGTTTGTGATGTGTTCCTCTTTGAGCCAGATCTTATGAGCTCTCAGAGAAACCCATCACACCTGAGACAGCTCAGCTACCCTGAACAGCATAAAATTAGCAGCATGGCTTCTGAGGCAGTGTTGGAAACAGAAAAAGGTTTAATAAAAGGCAAAATAACAAAGCTCTTAGAGAGAAAAACTGAGCCAGGTTTTGCAGGGACAAGAGATTCTTGCTCCCACTAAAACACCCCACAAAAGTGATTATTTCCTTTGTTGAATTAGCTAAGTGGGAGCTCTTGGCCTCTGTCCAATTGGGCAGCCCCAGGTCTGAGGTGAAGTCCCCAAGGTCCAAACTGCGAGAGGAACTTGTGGGCTTTATCCTTTTTGAAGCAGACAGAATAATTCAGTCACTCCACCAACAGAGAGCATATTCCTATATGTTTACCCCAACACCTGTGCCCTGACCCTGTTTTCCTTGCAGGCCCCCCCTCAGCCCCCCGGAACCTGGTGTACAGCCTGCGCCAGAGCTCGCTGGTGCTGCACTGGAGCGCCCCGGCCGACGCGGGCGGCCGCAGTGACCTCACCTACAGCCTGTGGTGTGCCCGCTGCCCTGCAGGGCCACCAGGGCGCTGCCAGCAGTGTGGCACCAGCGTGGGCTTCGTGCCACAGCAGACGGGCCTGGTGGAGCGCACGGCCACGCTGCTGAACCTGCTGCCCCACGTCACCTACACCATCCGCGTGCTGGCGCTGAACGGCGTCTCCGCTGTCAGCCCGCTGGGAGGGCAGCAGTATGCTGAGGTCAACGTGTCCACTGGGCACACAGGTAGGTGACACTGTTGGAATAATTACCAATATAGCTGGATGGGATGTGCTTGAGCTTGTCTGGCCTTGCCGCTGAACCAAACAGCAGCACTGTGGTGTTTCACCCCACAGACGCTTTTGGCTGGCTGGGTGTGTGGTGTTTCAGCCCACAGACACTTTTCGCCAGCTGGGTGTGTGGTGTTTCACCCCACAGACACTTTTGGCTGGCTGGGTGTGTGGTGTTTCACCCCACAGACACTTTTGGCTGCCTGGGTGCTGCAGCTGGGCCCGTGGGGACAAGGCCAGGCCTGCAGGAGCTCTGGTGGTGCTGGGATGGAGCTTCCCCCCATAACAGGGGCTGCTCCTCAGGTTTCCTTCTGGCAGAGAAGCTTTAAGGCGCTGGTGAAGGAAAGGAGTCGGTTCTGATGGAGGGTTTGGATGCAGAGCTTTATTCTGGCCCACAGGCCTCTGAATGCAGCAGCAGCTGCAGCAGAACTCCCTGAGCCTGTGGTTGCTGCTCCTTTAACCCCGGGGAGAGGGGCAGGGAAGGGACAGGGAGCCACCAAGCAGGGACAGGAGGGGAGGGACAAAGGGACAAAGGACACCTGGATGGCCCAATGCCCCCAGGGGTAGAGGGCATCCTTTGAATCTGCCAATCACTCGATGCCTTCTGGAATTGCAGGAGTGACAGACAGTGCTGGGAGGGGAAAGGAGAGGTGACTGACACACCTGGGAGGGGAAAGGAGAGGGGACTGACACACCTGGGAGGGAATTATCAGGGGAGGGACCCAAGGTTCTGGGGTAAACCCTGAAATCACAATGCAAGAGCACAGATGGGGACAGCTTGCTGCTTTGTGCCCCTGTGGCTGCTTTGCTCTGGCATGTTGTGTTTGACACTCCTCTGGGAGGCAAGGTGTTGTTGGGGAAGGTGAAACAGGAAAGCCTTATAAATATGATTGCCTGGCAAAAGATTTTGAGAATATGGAAACTATAAGCAAGATTGAAATGAAAGCAAGCTTTGAGATCCCTCAGTTACTGAACAACTGGAAAACAATGGCATGGCCAGCTGAAGGTGATCCCCTTTGGATCAAGCAATCCCCTCTGCTTGCAGACAGGCCCAAGGTTCAGAGCAGACCCTGCCAGCTTGGCAGAAGGGGCCCAAAGAGGAGTTTTTAGGGTTTAAAATGTAACCCAGTGTGGTAATGTAATGATTCTTATAGGCTGTATGGAAATGCTGTAGGATTTGTGTCTTGTACTAGATTGATTAGTGAGAATTAGAATATTCAGCACAGAAGAAGATTTATTGTATTGTAATGGGAACCTTGCCCTCTCACCCTCTGTCCCCCTTTCTTCTCTGGGCCCTGCTCTGAGCTGTGGCTGGCAGCTCCCAGCAGGGCCCTGCACCCAGGCCCTTTGCAATAAACCACAAGTTCCCAGCCCTGGCTGCAGAGATCTCTGGTCTCTGTCCATCCCCACCCTCCTACCCCCATCTCTCCTACACAAGGAATAAGCCTGGTGACAGCCTGGGCTGTGAAGGGACAAGTCTGCTCTGAGATCTGGCTGCAGTTTGAATTTATAAATCATAACACCCCCTTTGATGAAGCAGCATTTACAGCCCATTCATCAAAAAATCCTCCTTAAAATAGATAATTCAAATGTTGGCTATCCTTCAGAAACAAAAAAATTGATTTCCTCTCTCTATCCTGTGCTGGTTTGTGACACAATTCTTACTGTAACTGTCCCTTTCCATTTCCAGTTTGGCATTTCTGTTCCCTCAGGTAAAGGGAAGTGAGTGCCCATCCTGTGGACATAGGGGTTGGCTCAGGAGTCCCTCCTGAGGTGTTGTCTGTGCCAAAGGACAGTCAGGTCCCTCCTGTGCTGTTGGCTCTGCTGAAGGACAGTCAGCTCTGGCTTGTCGTGTCCTTGTCCCTTCCTCTGCAGTTACATTATTAATTTGCATGAAAACCCTTTCCCAAGCCACACTTAATGGAGACAGATGATCCTCAGGTACCTCTTGGCAGGAAGCGGCCAACAATTTCATCTGAAGAGATTAAACTTTGATCTTGTTAGAAATAATTTCCCCACCACTTGATCAAATGCTTTTTTGTGCACGTTGCTGCTTTCTCTTCCCTCATGCCATAATCCCTGTGGCTGCATTGGGGGATGCTGTGCTGCAGACTGCTCCTCAGCTGAGGTGTCACTCCTCATTAGGATCTTTGCTGTTCAAGGATGGATTTAGCTCTGGGAAGGTCTTCTGCCTCCTGAGCTCAGGCCAGGAGCACAGAGAACAGGCTGGGGTGTGGTGAGAAGCCATTCCTCCATCCTGGTGCAGGCAGAGGGACCTGGAGCTGCCACCTTGCCTGGGCCCCCAGCTCTGAGCTGGCACAAGCTCAGGTGTGGGCAGTGAGTGCCCTGTTCTCTTAGGGAGCAAAGCAGCAAGTCAGTGATGCCAGTCATGCCTTGGTGTAAGAGCCTGAATGAGAGATGTGGGACTCCAGGCTGCTCTCCAAAATGCAGTTTATTGTATCCAAGAGGCTACAGCAGTCCAGGGTTGTGGGTGTCAGAGCTGTGCCCACAGCTGTCAGCTCCAGCTGCAGGCAGGCCTGGAGACCCTTTGGTTTTGATTACATTGCATTATAGACTTTTCTTTTGGTCACAATGCATTCTATACTTTTCTTTTGGTTACAGTCCATTCTATACTTTTCTTTGCTGAGCATCTCAATACAGTAGAACCAATCTACACCTTAACTTTTGTCTATAGCCTATCATAACTACTATAATTATCATATTCATGTTACTGTTCTCCAATCACTAAAAGTCAGTACATTACAGTTTAAGCTAGAATTTGGTTTTCAGTTTTCTTGCAGTGGTAAATTCTGAGACCTTTTTTCTACTTGCAACATTGGCAGGCTTGTTTGCCTGTTCTATCTTTCTGCTTGGTAAAAACATCTTCTTGTTTGGGGTGGGTTTATCCTTTGCTCTAAGTCATAAAAACCTCTTCTAACTAACACATCCTTTGTCTCTTTGGTTATCCAGTGAGACTGGCTCAGCAATTCTTTTCTTCTATACCAAAACTTGCTTTCATCTCTATTCCTTCATCAGACTTTACATTCAAAAATCTTTCTGCTAAGCACACATATCTGTGAGACTTGTCAAACTTTCATCCTTCCCAACAGTCCTTGGCTGCTCAGAACAGCTTTTCCCCTGGGGAGGGGGAAATCTCAGCCCCTTGCTCGATACCATGTACTCCTGAGGGAACTGAAATGCACGTCAAGAATGTGGATAATTAATCCTGTAATCTGCTCAAAATCAATGTCTCTTGTTGAGCTGTCAAGTCTCCAGATGCAGGTGGTGGCTGGGAATTACCCAAACAGCTGAGGCTCGGAAGTTTCTTGGAACACTGACAGTTTTTATTGCTGGGGCTGCCCTGCCCTGGTTCCTCTTGCCTCTGCACCACTGGCAAAGGGTAACAGTGATGGTTAACCCATTCCTATGAGCAAAAATGGGGAGAACTGAGGAGAAGCTTGTCTCCTGAGCTCTGTCTGCAGGTTCAGAGGAAAAATTAAACAAGAAACAAGACCTTATTTATCTGTCAGAACCTGCTCCTCTAATCCAGCTCCGTGCTGTCCTTCCCTTCCAGCACTCACCAGAGGGAATTGTCCATCGCTCCTTGTAATTGCAGCCAAAAGAAGAGATGCAATTTAGTCTGCAGGTGGCAAAATTAATACTGTGTTTTTTCTAATCTGTCCCCAGCATGAGACTAAATAAAAGTGTTTGAGGAGTGAGGGGAACTGTTTGCCTGCAGGAGTGAAGCTGCATTAGCCATGTAAATGTGCACTCCAGGCCACTGTCATTTGTATTCCCGGCAGGAATACAAGGCTCCTGCCTTAAAGAGCTTTTAAATCTGCTGCTGATTAATAATGCAGCCAGTGCCAGAATGCATCCTCCTTCCTGAGGCTGGAGATGGGGGTTGAGCTGGATTTGGTCCTCCAAAGCAGATTTGCCTGTGTGTGCCCAGGGCTCAGTCACTGTGGGGCAGTAGGGCTGCAGGATGAGCAACAAAAGTCTGAGCTCCTGGGGTCTTTGTCCTGAAAAGGTGCCTCTTGATGGTGAGGCAGCTTCTCTGCTTTGAAATGGAGATATCTGAGGCATGTTCAGTGTTGGGATGTTAGTAACTGGTGAGGGAAGGGAGAGGTAGCTCTATCTGCACAAGCAGGGGGATTTGATGTTTGTGCCCAAGTGCAGCTGTTGGATGAAGTGAGTTCTAGGGAAGGACACAGTGCCACATGTTATTTTATGCTTGCTCTGCTGTAGTTTTATGCCTGTTCTGCTGTAGTTTTATGCCTGTTCTGCTGCTACCCTGCTTAATCAACAGGAGAAAACCCACGTACAGGGGAATGGAGTTTATAAAATCAGGCAGAGTGGTGAATAATTTAATGTTTGCTTTTTCAAATAGAGGCAATGATAGAAGAGCTTAAAATATTGATGGGAAACACATTTTTTTCTTCACAGTGTGAAATGCTTTATAGCCTGTGTGATTTTCTTTAATGTTTTTTAAACATGTTTGAGGCTGGCACCTGCTTTTCTGTCATGTACCACGGGCTCTGCTCTAAAGCACATCTGTGAGTGAAGAGGATTTTTCCTGATGACTTTGTTAACAGTCAGGACCACACAGTCAGGTCTCTCCAGTCCATTTCCAGGACTCAGAGACACAGGAGGGCAGCTGGGTGATATTTTATTGATGGGGATCATACAACACTGTAAGGAGCACTTAGCTTATCTCACAGGAGCAGGACCCAAGGCAGGTGTTGGGGGATAATGTTGGATTATGTCCCACACCCAGAGGGAGCTCTGTGTGGGCCATGGAGCTGCACAGGAGCCCCTTTGACTCCTCTCACAGGGAGCCAAAGTGACTTGGAATCAAGGAGCAAATCGCCATGAATAAAACATCATGAGGGCTTTTTATTTAAGCAAAGATTAATGAGCTAAGTAATAAATACAAAATTTCACGGATATTTAAGTTTATTTTCTAGGGACTTGTGCCTCTCCATGGGAGTCTTGGTGGGACAGAGACAGGTCCAGTGAATGTCCTGATTTGATGGGAAGTAGAACAAGCTAGAAATACCCTGTGCAGCATTTCCTGTGCCTGAGGGCTGTGAGCTTCTGCCTGCATAGTCTGGAGACTTGTTTGGAGCCAAACCTGGTTAAAATGGGAATATTGACAAGTGCATCTTGCAGTGGATGAACTAAATGGATGCATGCATGCTGGGGAGGGAGTTTGTGCTGACCAGAAACACAACACAGGCAGCTCCTGAGGCACTGCCTGCTCTCAGAGCAGGGGTCAAACCCTCAGCAGTCCAGGGTAAATCTGGTGTGAGGTGGTTCAGGAAGCCTTGGTGTGTCCCTCTAGCCCTCCTGATCAAAGATTGTGTTTTGCCTTTCCCAGACATCCTCAGCAGGGTTCAGAGCCCAGGACAGAGCCCATCCTCAGACTCCAGCAGCACTAAGGGTGGAGGGTGCTGTTGGGATTTTTGCCAGTTTTCCATTGCAGGCTGCCCATGGATTACAAAGCTGCTTTACCACCAGCTTCTCCCACTGCATGGCCACCAGCTCATCCTGGAGCTATTCCAGTCCTGATTCAGTGAGAGGGGACTGGTGTCTGCAGAAACCACAAACTCTGTGTAAGTGAAATGTTTTTACTGGAGCAGCCCCTCAGTCAGTGCCCTTTTCTTCTCTGCATTTCCAGAGCCAGCTCCTGTCACTGACATCCGCACAGACAGAGTGGAGCAGAAGAGTGTCACCCTGTCCTGGCAGGAGCCAGGCCTGCTCACTGCTAATGGCACCGAGTACGAGGTCAAGTACTTTGAGAAGGTGAGCTCTGGGTGTGGGAGTCCTTAAAATCCCAGGGCTTTGGGAAAGCTGCAGAAGGCAGCCTCAGAAACAGCAGAACTGGGATTGGAGCTAAGCAGTAGCCATGAGATTGGTCAGCAGAAAAATTATGTAAGAATAGAAAAGGATGGACAAATAGAACAATGGTCTGGGTATTAATGCTTAAGGAGTTATTATTAAGGAGTATTAAGTTTTAAGGAGTCTAGAATAACTCCTTAAGCTACAGAAAAGTTTATCTAGCAGATATTAGGAAGTTCTAACCTTAATAATGGAGCTCTGTGCATTGTGTTTTAAGGCTTACAAGCAAGTATTGTATTTGAAATAAGCAAGCATTGTTTTAACCAAAGGTACCTGTGCTTGTAGTGGTTGGATGGAACTACTGTCAATGTGCTTTTGCTTTGTGTGATTGGTCAAAAAACTTTTAAAGTAAGTTGTAACATTAAGTTCTTTGTCTGCTGCCTGGGATGTGAGCTGGTGGCATCTTCCCATTGACATAATCATGTAATGAGACTGATGCTGGAAAATAAAACAGCTCAAGGCTGTTCCCCAGCAGCCCCACCCTGTTTGTGATTTGTACAAATTTGTACATATTGCCTGGCTGGCAATACTGGGCACTGCCATGGGCTCTGCTTGTGCCCCTGGCTTTGTGCCCTTCCCTTGCCCCCCTCAGGAGCAGGGGTGCTGTGTGTGCCCATCCATCTGTGACTGACACCACAGTGGTTCCTACATCCTGCAGGAGATGCTCTCTGTGTTCCCAGCCTGCTCTCCAGGAGGGTGTTGCACCTTGTGCTCTGCACTGGTTTAGGACTGAGAGCCACAAACCTGTGACTGTGGGTGGCCTTTCTACATGGGAAATATTTTCATGACAGTTTCTTGATTTTAAAAACTGTTGCTGTTTGACAGGTGCGGTAGGTTGGGGATTTTAGGAGAAATACCAGTGGGCAGAGCTGGGACAAAGCTCTAAATGAAAATGAATGCAGTTTATGACACAGTTCTGCAAATTACCTTATCTGCGTGCACTCAGGCTCGTTCTGGAGCTGATGGTGTGTCAGGCACACTGTGCAGGTGACATGTCAGCATTCTGTATTTAGAAACAAGCTACCCTGAAGCTGATTCATATTAATGTGATTTGCAGCATCTGATAGATTTGAGAGGAGGGATCTGTGGAGGAGGGCAAATGCTGGAGCCCAAGACAATAATTCCTGTGCAAATGGGCTGCAGCAACATGATACTTGGGGTATGAAATGAGGAACCTTCCTCCTTGAGTACCGAATTTAAATTCAGTTTAGCAGTTATTCACTGAAATGAGCCTCTTGATGCTGACATGGATATCAGCTTAGTTCCTAATCTTTGCTTTTAAAGCTTTTGTTTTTACTGTGAAGATTCAAAGGGGGAAACATATCAAATGGAAACACATTTGGTAGTGATGTGAGCAGTGCAGGGAGCGGCTGCTGCTCATGCCCATGCCAGACTGTGGGGCTGGGACACTGAACTGTGCTGAAATGTGGGACTGTGGGACTCTGCCAGTGCTGGACAATGGGGTTGGGACGCTGCCTGTGCTGAATTGTGGGGTGGGGACACTGAACTGGGAGTCTGGGGTGCCCCTTGAGGCTCCACCTGCCTTTCACCAATCCCCACAGATTTGCTCCAGTCCTCAGCAGCTGCAGCAGGGGAGCAGGGAAGGACTGGCTGCTGCCACAGCTGAGCCTGGCATGGGGAAGTTGCCATGAGGGGTGGCACAGCTGCTCCCCACCACCCCATTTTCTACCTTCATGTCCTCACAGCACCATCCACCTCCATCTGCCACCTCCTGTGACCTTCCCATGTAATTTCTGTTGATCAGACAGGCAGTGAATGTATTGTTTCTGATGGGGCCCAGAGCTGAGGACAGGACTGTGCCACGCTGGCTCTGTGTCACAGCTGTCAGTCCAGCTCCATCTCAGGTATCTCATTATTTCACAGGATCAGAGAGATCAAAGCTACTCAACTGTGAAAACCACATCAACGGCCGTGACAGTCAATAACCTGAAGCCTGGTACCCTCTACATTTTCCAAATCAGAACATCTTCCTCTCCAGACTACAACCCTGGCATTGAAGTGGAGACATTGGCAGAGTGTAAGTGCAGCAGGGCTCTGAGCTGAGCTCTGGGGATGCTGTGCTTGCACCTTGTGCTTCTGGTTTCATGGAGCAGCACTCGTTCCTCTGGTTCTGCTGTTCCAGGTCTAAGGGTCACTGCTGCCCAGGAATTTGCTTCTCCTTGCATTTTCCCATTAGATTTTGATGAGGTTGGTCCTGCCAGTGCTGGGGGAGCCTTTCCTGGCTCTTCTCAGTGAAGAGTCAATGAGGGCAGCTGCTCTCTGGCTCCTTTCTCATGAGGAGGCTGGGACAGGCTCTGCTCTTTGGCTGAGCTTGCCCAAAACCACGCTTAGCTCATGGCTGCTCCCTGCTGCTGTCCTGGCTCAGGAGGCACTTGGCTTGCCTGCTCCTTGGCTGGCTCAGGTCAGCCAGCAACAGTGTTATCTGCTGAGACTTCTCCTTTTAAATTCCCATTCATAACTCTGGTCCAAAAGCATCTTATTTCACTGAGAGAGGGCTGGAGGGATGTTGGGCTTCAGCACAATCCCCCACCCTGGCTGGAAGAGCAAGGCTGAGCTGGCTGGCTCAGAACAGCTCCCACAGATTGTGTTTAACAGGGCTTTAAATTGCCTTCATTTGCCACACAGAAGAGATTTCAGAATTAATTGAAGCCAATAAAAATTTTATAGAGAATGTAGTAGCTATCTAATACCCCTGTTTGCAAAAGCAGGAGGAAAAGGGATTAATGTGATGAAAGAAAACTATTTGTGAGGCCATAAATTTTGATATGTTCCTCTGATAAACAGGATTCTTCCTCAGCTTTGATTCCCAGCTCCAGGAATTGTTGCAGCAGTGCTGGGCTGCTCTGTGTGCAGTCCCCAGCATGTTGGACTGATCCCACCAGCCTGGGCTCTTAAAGCTGAACCATGTCACAGACATCTTTTATGGAAAATCCTTTCCTTAGGATTTTTCCTCCTGAGAAGCTGAGAGGCCTCAGGAACAAAATGTAAACATTGATTATCTGCTGCTGTGGAATGCAACAGGTGCATCTGTGATTGGTCTCATGTGGTTGTTTCTAATTAATGGCCAATCACAGTCAGCTGGCTTGGACTCTCTGTCCAAGACACAAGCCTTTGTTATTCATTCCTTCTTTTTCTATGATGAAATCCTTTCTTCTCTTCTTTTAGTATAGTTTTAATATAATATATATCATAAAATAATAAACCAAGCCTTCTGAAACATGGAGTCAGATCCTCATCTCTTCCCTCATCCTCGGACCCCTGTGAACATGGTCACAGAACCAGAACATGAATTGTTGTGAGAATGGTGAAAAAAGCAGCCAAACTTCCCCAGCTCTTCTGGCCATGGGAGCAGTGAGCAAGGCAGCTGCTCTCCTCAAACCTGGCTGATGAGTGGCTCTGCTTCCCCCCTGCAGTGACAGTGGCCTCCAGTGAGCAGAGCCCAGTGCTCATCATCGCCGTGGTGGCCATCGTGGGGCTGACGGTGCTGCTGTCCCTGGTGCTCGGTGTCATGGTCTGGAGGAGGTGAGCAGGGCCAGCTGTGGTCCAGGGGGATTTGAGCTGGGGTGAGGAGTGACTGCCCAGGTGCTGCTGGGCTGTTGGAGTCTCTGTGGTCAGGATGACCCTGAGATACCTTAGAGAGTCTCTTTTTCCCAGCCCAGCAGCTGAAGAAGGAGTCAGGATTCTTCTGTTCTGCTTTTCAAGGTTGTTTATTTTCTCTTATCTATAACATTCTTTCTCTGACCTGCTGAGATCTGTCTGGCAGGTCAGATTGTGGCACACTGACTGCCCTTGGGGTGGTGTTGGCTTTTTATACTAAGAACTACATGTACTTTATTTACAATAATTTTCCATTACCTATCACCTATGTTAGACAGTCTGTCTCTACTCTAAACCAATCCAGAAGTGCCACCATCACAGCAGAAGATGGAGGCTAAGAAGAAGAAGAAGAACGGACAGGACACTCCCAGATTCTTCCATCTTGCCTCCTGAACCCCCATTCTAAATCCCCAAAATTCTACATTTCACCTTGTGATAAACTCACTATCATTCTACTCAAACTCTTGTGGCTTGTAAATCTTCACACAAAACTGATAATTGTTTCCATGGGCTAAAATCAAAGGCATAGGTGTTTTTGACTCTGTGCCAAGGTCTCTGAGCCCCCTGCCAGGTTGTCGAGTCAGAGGAGTGTCCTAGGTTCTGACACTGAGCATCTTCATTCTCTTTGCAGGCAGTGTGGGTACAGCAAAGCCAGCCAGGATGGGGATGAGGAGCTGTACTTCCACTGTAAGTGGCACCAGCTGTCACAGCCAGTGTGACTGTGGGGATCCCTGATTTATTCCTGATTTATCATTGTTAATAACCCACCAGAGCAGCCCTGAGCCCTCACTTTTGAAGTGCTGTCACCCTGGGTTATCCCAGAGCAGGGGCCAGCACAGCAAGGCTCTCTGAGGAGCTCCATGTGCCAATGTCTGTCATGGCTGCATGGGGGTCACTGTGTGCCAGAGGAGATGGGGACACTTGCATCTTCCATGGGGTGTGTAAATTATTGTCAGCTTCTCAAACAAACAGTTTTGTTTTCTGGGGCAACTCTGGATTATTGAGCAGCAATAATTTTACAGTTGTCAGAGGGAATTCAGATGTAGGGACTGATGAGTTTATTTGATTCCAAGCCTATGGAGTGCACACATGCTTTTCTGCTCCCCAAAGCACCTTAGAAGTAGAAGAGCCTGCTTTGACCATTTCACTTGGCTTTGGAGGGTGGGAGCTTCACTGGAGCAAAGGGGCTGCTTTTCTTTACCCAAGGGTTGAGGCAGTGGAGCAGAGCAGTTGGATTCACTCAATCCTAAGAAAAAAAAAATCCTAGGAATCTTAGAACTGAGTCTTTTGCTTTGCTTATAGAAAGGTGGCACGTTGGTTCTGCCCACAGACCAGGAGATGGATGAGCTGGGATGGTGTTTCCCAGGATGGGTGGGTGGAAGTTCTGCTGAGCCCCTCTCACCTGCCCTTTCTGCCTTTCCTGCAGTTAAAATTCCAACCAGGAGGACATACATTGACCCCAGCACCTGCGAGGACCCCATGCAGGCTGTGCACCTCTTTGCCAAGGAACTGGACAATGCCAGCATCAAAATTGAGAGGATTATCAAGACAGGCAAGTTCCAGGGGTGGTGGCTGTGCTGGTGTGCTCCCCTTCCACTGAGCCATGGCAGTCCTGGGGGTACCCACCTGCAGCACAGGAATTTATCCAGTGAGGGTTTTATCCTGAAGCTTTGTTCCTCATTCCTGGTGTTTTCCTGAGGCACTGAGCACAGCCAAGCCACACAGAGCAGAAAGCATCAGCAATTATCTGCATCTGGGCAGTTTGACAGCAGCATGAAAACTATTTATAAATACGTGAACCTAATGATTTATCGATTTTCATCAACTTCACTGCCTAAAACTTAAAAGCAAATTAAAATCCCCTGACTGGACCCTAGAGCCTTAATGGCTGCTGTGTGCCAGAATGTGGGAAACGTGATCATTCTTTGTCATTTGTTTTCCTAAAGATAAATTCAGCTGTAGCAGCAGCAGAGGAAGGGAGGAGGGAGGGCTTTGCCTGCAGCTGAAGGACAGTGTTGAAGGGGAGAGGACACTGAAGAGGGGATGAGGTTGCCTCTGAACTGCAGGGTGGAGCAGCTCAGAGGAGCCCCATGTACCTTTCATGAGCAAACTGGTGTTCAAAAAATCAAGAAAGAAATTAGTAATGAAGACATTTAAATCTAAGGAATTGAGGAGTGTGTTTGTCTCACTGCTGACCTAACAATAACCTGATTTCCAAATCAATAAAGCTGCTCATAGCTACATGCCTTTTGCTGTCAAGCCAATATTGGTTTTTTTGCGTTGGGAATTGAATTTTTATGCTGGGAATTCTGTAGCTCCTGTTGTGGAGCACATGGCTGTGCAGTGGGATGTTCTTCCTCAAGGATTGCAGGAACCCTCCCTCACAGCCCTGCTGTGTCCAGCTCTGTGGGAAGCAGACCAGGAGGCAGAACCAGCCAGGCCCAGAGCATGACCTTGGTGATTAATCCTCCTCTCATGGGCTAAAACACAATATGCACTGGGGCAGAGCATGGAGAGAACACTGAGAGGCTCTGGAGGTGCCTGAGGGTCAGCAGCTTCCATGGGGTGTATAAATTATTGTCTTATGATCACAAGCAGCCTTGTTTTCGGGGGCTACTCTAGATTGCTGAGCAGCCATAATTTTACAGACAACAGTTGTAAGACTATTGGAATTTACCAATATTGCTGGACAGGACGTGCCTGAGCTTGTCTGGCCCTTGGTGCTGAGCCAAACAGTGACACTGTGGTGTTTGACCCCACAAACACTTTTGGCTGGCTGGGTGTGTGGTGTTTGACCCCACAGACACTTTGGGCTGGCTGGGTGCGTGGTGTTTCACCCCACAGACACTTTGAGCTGCCTGGGTGTGTGGTGTTTCACCCCACAGACACTTTGGGCTGCCTGGGTGCTGCAGCTGGGCCCGTGGACACAAGTCCAGGCCTGCAGGAGGTCTGGTGGTGCTGGGATGGAGCTTCCCCCCATAACAGGGGCTGCTCCTCAGGTTTCCCTCTGGCAGAGAAGCGTTAAGGCGATGGTGAAGGAAAGGAGTCGGTTCTGATGGAGGGTTTGGATGCAGAGCTTTATTCTGGCCCACAGGCCTCTGAATGCAGCAGCAGCTCCAACAGAACTTGCTGAGCCCGTGGTTGCTGCTCCTTTGAACCCCGGGGAGAGGGGCAGGGAAGGGGCAGGGAGCCACCAAGGGGGACAGGAGGGGAGGGACAAAGGGACAAAGGACACCTGGATGGCCCAATGCCCCCCATGGGTAGAGGGCATCCTTTGAATCTGCCAATCACTCAATGCCTTCTGGAATTGCAGGAGTGACAGACAGTACTGGGAGGGGAAAGGAGAGGTGACTGACACACCTGGGAGGGAATTATCAGGGGAGGGACCCGAGGTTCTGGAGTAAACCCTGAAATCACAACGCAACATAAGACAGAATTCAGATGTTGGGACTGATGAGTTTATTTGATTCCTAGGAGTAAGCTAGTGGTAAAGATTAGTTTTGCCTGGGGGTTCATTAGCAGAGGAAGGAGTTGAACCATCATTTTCGGTGTGTGGACCCAATAGTTTGTTTAGCTGACCCTACTAGAAAGTAATATAAAGGAAGTATGGAGCATTTTGATTCCTCTAGTGTAGGTTTGATTCTTGCTTTTCGAAGTGCTAGGAAATGAGAGGGCTGGTGTACCTCCATGTTAACTTTATCAAAGTGACCCTCAGTGTTCAGGCACATTTCCAGGAGGGCCTTAGGTAAGGAGGTAGGCCTGCATAGTAGGCTCCCACACATGCACAGAGCTCAGGATGGCCTGGTGTGAGTGCAATCAGTCCTGCCAGGGATGTATTTAACCCATTTCTCTGCCATGCAGGAGAGTTTGGGGAGGTGTGCCGGGGGTGCCTGAAGCTGCCCAGCAAGCGCGAGCTGCCGGTGGCCATCCGCACGCTGAGGGCCGGCTGCTCCGAGAAACAGCAGCACTCCTTCCTGGCCCAGGCCTGCACCATGGGCCAGTTCGACCACTCCAACGTCATCCGCCTCGAGGGGGTCATCACCAGAGGTACATTTATTGGAATATTTACCAATATATCTGGATGGGACCTGCCTGAGGCTTTGTCTGGTTCAGGGCCTTGTCTGGCACTGTGGTGTTTCACCCCACAGACACTTTTGGCTGGCTGGGTGTGTGGTGTTTCACCCCACAGACACTTTGGGCTGGCTGGGTGTGTGGTGTTTCACCCCACAGACACTTTGGGCTGGCTGGGTGTGTGGTGTTTCACCCCACAGACACTTTGGGCTGCCTGGGTGCTGCAGCTGGGCCCGTGGACACAAGTCCAGGCCTGCAGGAGCTCTGGTGGTGCTGGGATGGAGCTTCCCCCCATAACAGGGGTTGCTCCTCAGGTTTCCCTCTGGCAGAGAAACTTTAAGGCAATGGTGAAGGAAAGGAGTCAGTTCTGATGGAGAGTTTGCATCCAGAGACTGCTCTGAATGCTGCAGCTCTCTCCCATGAGTGTGTGTGCAGAGCCTGGCTATGAATGTGATAGTTAAATGGATATTTGTGTAAATCCAAAGAAACCAGAACATGTGAGCTGATTCTAACCCTAAAAACTAGGGTTTTTATAAGGAAAGGAAGTTCTGGCTGGGCTGGTTGCTTTTGCTTTCGCTGGGCTGTGCTGTCCTTTGTGATTCAGAGTCCTGACTTCTGATACTGGAATCCTTCCCAGCTGGGAATGGCAGGGAAGCCTTGGCCCTAGTGCTCTTTATAACCTGGCTGAGATAATGTCCTTATCTCCCCCAAAAGCCAGGCAGTGCAGGAGTTGGCACCTGGATTTGTAACCCCTGCAGGGTCTGAGTGATGGCAGCACTGACACCATGCTGTTTGTCTGTCTATCTGTCTGTCTGTGCAGGGAGCACCATGATGATAGTGATGGAGTACATGGGGAATGGCCTGCTGGATGCCTTCCTCAGGGTGAGTACTGGGGTGTCTGCCCAGCTTGGACTCTCCTGACCGTGTTCCCATGGCTGCCCTTTGGCTTTTCCTCCTCTGCTTTCACAGAAACATGAGGGGCAGCTGACAGGCACGCAGCTCATCTGCATGCTGCAGGGCATTGCCTCTGGCATGGCATACCTGGCAGAGATGGGCTATGTGCATAAGAGCCTGGCTGCCCACAAGGTCCTCGTCAGCAGCAGCCTGGCATGCAAGATCACAGGGTTCAGACAGCCTCAGGAAGACAAGATGGAAACCATCTTCTCCACGATGGTGAGCTGCATTTCCACATTCTGTTGTCAGCACTTTTCCTAGGCTCCCATCTCCTTCTTCAAGTATGAGCAGGGGTTCTGCACCTTGGGCTTCTTTCACAGGTGGAAATCCAATGTGTTTGGTCAGGGACCTTCACAGCACCATGCCTGCTCTGCCCACAACCCTGCTGCACAAATCAGGGCAGAGGGACTTGTGTTTGTACAGCTGTGAGGTGGTTTTCCTTAAATATCAGTGACAAAATGCCATCAGCTCTTCCTGGGGACATTCTCCTCTCCCATTAATATTTCAGGACTCACACTCCAGTGTAGCATACAGTTGCAGTGACATTTTAAATGAATTTTGAAGAAAAAGTTTTCTCTTAGCACTAAATGTGCTCCTGGCACATGGGTTTGCTCAGTGCCCTCCCTGTGGTGCCAGGCAGGGCACGATGAATAGTGAATGGCTACCTTGGAATTACCAGCCTTGGCCACATCCTGCTGGGCTCTCAGAAGGTTGCAGTTTATTGTAGCCCCTAGATATGTGAAAAGCCTCTGTTTCAGCCTGCATGTTCAAAGAATGAGTCAGAGCTCTTCAGTTCTCGGTCTCAGAGTTGTTTATTGTATCTTATCTATAAAAATTTTTCTCCTGCCCTGCCAAGGTCCATCCAGCAGGACAATTCCAGGTACATTGCCTGCTCCCAGGGCAGTGTTATCTCTTTATACTAAAAACTACGTATAACATGTTTACAATTACTTCCCAATACCTATCACCTATATTAAGCAGTGAGCTTCTACTCTAAACCAATCCCTAAGTGCCAACATCACAGCAGAAGATGGAGGCAGAGAAGAAGAAGAAGAAAGGCTGGACACACCCAAGTCCCTCCATCTTGTCCCCAAAACCCCTATTCTAAAAATCTACTTTTTCACCTAGTGATAATTTTATTATTACATGACTTAAACTTCTGTGGCTTTCAGGTCCTCATACAAAGCTGGTAATTTGCTCCATGGGTCATAATCAAACCCACAGGTGTTCTGGGCTGTGTGCCAGGGTCTCTGAGCCCCCTGGCAGGGGTCCTGGCAACTCTGGACACCCAGAGGGATGCACTGAGTTCCAACACTGGGCCAGTAAATCCTAAATCATTGCTGCCCTTCTGCCTGTGCAGCGTGGGAAGAGCCTGGTGCTGTGGTCAGCCCCCGAGGCCATCCAGTATCAGCACTTCAGTCCTGCCAGCGACGTGTGGAGCTTCGGCATCGTCATGTGGGAAGTGATGTCCTACGGGGAGAGACCCTACTGGGACATGTCCCACCAGGATGTGAGTGCCCTGCAGCTGCTCAGTGCATGCTGCTGCTGCTGCCGGAGGGGCTGGGAGGCTTTGCCTCTGGTTTGCAGCACCAGCTGACCCCAGCCCCTGGTGTTGTGCAGGTGATGAAGGCTGTGGAGGATGGGTTCCGCCTGCCAGCCCCTGCCAACTGCCAGCCTCCTCTGCACCAGCTGATGCTCAACTGCTGGCAGAAGGACCGCAGCCAGAGGCCCAAGTTCTCACAGATCCACAATGCCTTGAGCAAGCTGGTGCAGAGCATGGAGCCCCCAGAGTGCCCCAGCTCCACGTGTCCCAGGTGAGCACACCTGCCTGTCCCTCCTCTGCCCTGCTGTGCCCCACTCCCTGTTCACCCCCCTCTCTGCTGGCAGGTCCCATGGCACCTCCATCCCCCTCTCCAAGAGAACCTTCTCAGCCTTCCCCTCGTTCAGCTCCGTGGGGGAGTGGCTGGAAGCCATAGAAATGGGCAGATACAAGGACAACTTCACTGCTGCAGGCTACTGCTACCTGGAGTCTGTGGCCAGGATGACAGCCCAGTAAGTGACCCCTTCTCCTGGCTGTAACCTCGTGTGTGGGTGCAGTGAGAGCAGAGCCGCACCCAGAGTGATTTACTGATAACCTGTGGTGCTGCAGCACAGGGTGGTGGGCTCAGAGCTGCCCCACATTGGTGTGCTGCAGGCTCCTGTTAGCCCAGAATGCCTGGTCAGGGTCAGTGCTGCTTTGGCTGGGGCTAAAGACTGGGGATTTCTTATCTGTGCACACCTGGAGTGGGTGCTGTCTGGCCTGGAAGCAGTCAGTGTTGGGGCACACAGTGGTCACAGGGATGTGAAATGCACATCAAGAATGTGATAATTAATCCTGTAATCTGGTCAAAAACAATGTCTCTTGTTGAGCTGTCAAGTCTCCAGATGCAGGTGGTGGCTGGGAATTACCCAAGCAGCTGAGGCTCAGGAGTTTCTTGGAGCACTGACAGTTTTTACTGCCCTGCCCTGGTTCCTCTTGCCTCTGCACCGTATGCAAGAGTGCAATGATTCCCAAATGGGATTCAAGTTAGCTCATCTCCAGATGCTTTTATATTCATTAGCCACATCTTAAGTGCTGTAAATACACACTTGAGAAGTGTGGATGGTTAACCCAGTGATGGTTAACCCATTCCTATCAGCAAAGAAGGGGGAGAAGGTTGTGTCCTGGGGGAATGGCTGCAAGCTGGGTTTGTCTGTAAGTGTTGTGTGTGCTGGCTGACGTGGGGCTCATTTTGCAGAGACATCCTGAGCCTGGGCATCACTCTGGCAGAGCACCAGAGGACCCTCCTGAGTGGGATCCAGAGCCTGCGGGCCCAGGTGATCCGGATGCACGGCCGGGGCGTGCAGGTGTGACACTGTGTCTGCAGCCCCTGCTCCTGGGGAGGAGAGACCTGCTGGGCCAGCCAGCCCCACCTCTGAATCCTGGGGGTCTCAGGTGGGCTGTGGGAGCTGCTGGGTGCTGCCAAACGCGTGGTGGGAGAGCAGGGCTGCTGTCCCCTGTGCCAGCCCAGCATCCCCAGGGTGGTGCCTGGGGGACGTGGCTCTCCCCAGGGCTGTTTGTAAGATGAGTCAAACTGTAGTGATGCCATTTCATGTGGTAGTTGAGTTCACAGGGTGGGATGGACCTTTTTGCACTGTCTTAATCCAGAGCCAACACTTCTGTATCCAGTATCCTGCTGGTGAATCCATGGGGACTTTTATACAGCCTGACAGATCACAGCAACCCCACAAGGAGTTTTTATTGCTTTTATATTTAGAGAGCAGCTCTCACCCAATGCCCAGCTCCTGGAAGGTGACTTTCCCCATCTGTGCTGAAGGAAACTCTTTCCCAGTTGCATCCCTTCTGCTCCATGAGCTACTTCACAGAGTTTGACACCTCAGTTGGTGAACAAAACCAAATATTCCCCAGTAAAGCACAGAGGAAATGGTGCTGGCTGCATCCATGCAATCCACTCTTTATTTTGTGAGCACTGTGCTGCCTGCCTGGCATGCTGGCAGCTCCCAGAGCTGCAGCCTGATCCCTGAGAAGACATAAATAGCATCTTAATAATACAACTTTCCTTGAGGTTTGTTAATTAAATGGGTATTTGCGGCTCTGTATGGAGTTTTGTAAGGTTTTATTGTGATCTGTAAGTGTCTCAAGTGAATTATTAATGCTGAAAGGCAAAGATTTACATAGGGGTGAAGGCTGTAGGAAATGCTCAGAGTCTGGTTGGAAGTCTGCTCCAGTCAGATGCTGCTGCTAGGTGCTCTGAGAGGATGAGGATGTGAGTGAGGATTGAGTGCAGGGCCCCTTGGGGCTGGCAGGGTGAGGGCTCTGCCCAGGAGAGTGCTGCATATGCTCTGGGGAAAACAAGATCTCTGCCCCCTCTGCAGTTCAAACCATGCTCCATCCCCAGAGTCTCTTGGTCAGTGTTTTTAAGAGAAATCATTTCTTCAAGTCTGGCCCATTCCAGTCAGGTTGGTCACTTGCCATCCCCCTGTTTCCCAGCCTGAGGACAGAAATAGCAGTGACCCAAACCCTGCATTTAGTGAACTGCCTGATCCCAAGGATCAAGTGCAGTTTGTGTGCTCTGTGTTTACACTTTATCTCTAGAGAATGCATATTACAGCTCTCTAGGCAGGGGTTTGAACTAGCTTGGTTCTGGGTCTCCTCTCCCCTCTCCCTGCTGGTGCTGCCTGTTGGGATGCAGGAGCCATGCTGGGAAGTTGCTGCTGGTGGAGCTGGTTCAAGGAGATCTGGAGACATCTAGGGCTTGGTGGTGAGGTGACAGCGTGCCTCAGTGTCTTGGTTTGGAAAGACAGGAGTCTGCTGATGAAGGCAGGAGCC